TAATACTGAGGAAAAGGTTAAAATATACATGGCTGCAGCACACCCTTGGCAATCCACAACTTCTGGGAGAGACAAACTAAATTACAGAAGGAGCAGAAGGGAAACCTTTGGTCTGAACCTCAGTAACTGTAACATCAGGCAACCCCCTCCCCAACCCCGTGGACTTGCATTTAAGTGTCATCCCTTCCTTTCCTGTTAACTGTAGACCATAGGATCTCTGTTTCCTGAGGGTCCTTGGAGTAAGTCAGAGCTTTGGAAACCCAGCTTGTTAACTGATATTTTCCATATAGCAAAGCACGTCTCTGCCCCAGTTTATTCTAGAATTTTAAGAACTGTCTGCCGAAGGCTATATTACTAACATCCCTCTATGTAGATTTCAATCAGCAACCTTAATAAATTACTAAGATTGTAATTACCAGTAGCCACTACTAGATAAGACAGAGATAGAACAACGATGCCCTCAGCTCTTGCTAAGAAGTTTCTACCTTCTGGGATAATTCTGAAAAGAAAACAAATTCTTCAAGTTCCTGAGCTATCCCAGTCAACCCTTTACTGGGCCACAGCTGTAGATCACAGAGGCAGTGACTGGCTCTGTCCTTCCAACCCCTTCCTCCTCTCGGTGTGTCTGCAGTGCCTTCTTCAATAGTAGTCGGGAGCCATTTCTTAAACTGAAGCATCACAAAGCCAATGAACTGAAGTGGTACTGCTGAGCACTCAAGCTGTAGGTTACACTTGCCCATAAAGCACGTGGAAGTGACTCCATGTCGTGGTAAGTTATCAAATTATGGAAAGAACATTGCAGAGATTAAAGTGTTGCATAAGAGAGAGGGAGCAGCATGAGTCAGGGATTTGGAAACTATGAGTCAGAACACAGGGAAGGAGCCAAAACCAGAGAACAAAGGCCTAAGCAGGAGTCTGACGGACACCAGTGAATGGACCCTGTATCAACTGTGAGACAAGGTCAGATCTTCAGTGCCACTGACTGTGGGCCAGCCTGGTAGAGAGCTCACCAAAGATTATTATACTGGATTATTTAAAGACGCTAAGGTTGCCAGCATCAAGAAGAGGGAGACCTACAATATTATAAATCACAAGGAGGGAGATATGAATGCTTTTCTTTAAATGAGGAAACAACTAAATAATGCCCTTAGCTGTTCTCACTATATCACTATTCTCACTTTTTATCCTCAGAATAAAAGGTGTTGATTAAAAGTGTTGTGGGATTTTAGAAAGCACGTTCTACCTTTCTCCCCCTTTGGTAATATTAACATCAGTCTGTGGCTGCTACATTCAGAGCTATTTGCTATAGCTTTCAATACAATAGCTATTTGCTATGGTGTTCAATAGAAACCCTCTAATCTCACATTGAAGTCCCTGCATTTTGCTAGTGACTTGAGCAAGCATTTTATGAACACACTCTGCCTGTTACAGCACCAGGTTCCTCACAAACAGCCCCTCCAGCCCTGCTGAGTTCAGCACTCTGCCATTCTGTGCAGTCACTGGGTCTCTTTCTGGTGGGATCTATCTTCTAAGGGACAGCTTCCTCCCTCTCCAACTCCTATATCTCATCACCTTCATGTTGCAGCTCAGAACTCGCCTCTGCAAAGCTTCTGCTCGCTCCAGGTGATACATTCTGTGACACTCCTTGGCTCCTCTGACTTTACTCTGATTTGTTCCCAGTCAAAGGCAAATGCTGTTCACTCCCAGAGATGCCATCTTAGAGACTCTTCTTCAGACAATGGTTCTACCCTGTGCTCAGTCAGAGAGGAAGGACTGACCTACTGTGCTCCTCAGGCCTCATCTGTCACTCTACCTTATGAATTCTACTTCCGTAATCTAAAACACTGGTCCTACTTTCTGTGAACTCTGAACACCAATTCCCAGGAAACAGTAATGATTCATTCATCTATTAATTGAGTAAACATTTACTGAAAACCCGTCACATTTCTTGCAGTATAGTAAGCAGGAAAAAATGAGCTTACTGTCAAGGACAAATGATAGATAATTAAAAACAAAAGCAAAAAAATCCTTTTCCCGGAGTACTTGTTCCTAGATTCTCAGGAAACTATGGCTGACCTAAGTCACTTTCCTGTGAAATAAAGCAGGGCTTTGCCCACACAGATGGCTTCCCAAACAGATATAAGAAGCTGATTTTGCTTACAAACAAACAGCAGAGATTCCAGCAAAGGCAGTGACTGTGCTGAGGACTCAGTGAGCATAGACTTGTGCTCAGCCCTCTGATAACAGGAACAGAAGCACATGAATGTGCAGAAGAAGCACAGGAAGTTCACTAATGTGTAGTGGCTTAACGTGACTTTGTGGGGGGTGTAAGCAAGCAAGAATAGGATCTCCAAAATCGTAACATTGTGGAATTTAAACAGATACTGTATTAAAGACAGTCAGTCTGCTGATGTTCTTCAGGGTTAAATAACCTGCTAAACTTGGAGGCTGGGGGAACAAAATCCTCTACACTGTGGCCAGAAAGGCTGTACATGGAAATGTAGATGAAGCCGCCTACTGGATGGAGAGGTTCTGCTTTTAGCATTTGTAAGTGCAGGTGAGTGAAAAGTGTCGTTTGCTGGCTAATGGTCACTCACTTGTGATGGAAAAAAGTCTTGTTGAAGCTTTCCTTTGTTTGGGGTAAAGAAAGAAAAACAATGTAGTTGGAGTGGCAGTGGTAGTATTTGAGGCTTTGCTTTTATTAAATTACTGTAACCCACCAAATGTTTTTATTAAATAATACTTTTCAGAAGCTAAATAGAGCAGACTCTTAGAAAGGAGGCACACAGGTTTGTATGTTTAAAACCTATTTAATGATGCATTGATCCCAGTGGAAATGTTAGCCTACTTATCAAAGACACTCCAAACAAATGATGGGAAAATGAGAAGGAAATTGGAGGGTACCGGGAACATGACTGGGTGGAGGCAGCGTACAGAGTGGTTGCAGAAAGAACAGCCTCGGTCACTGGCAAGGCCTTCCTCAGCAGTGCAGAGCGGCCCCTGTCCTTGATCTCCTGCCAGCACGGACTGAGGGAACTTGCCGCAGCTGAAATCTAGCGGGGCCCTATCTCTCAGGGCTGTTATCACCACAAATCCTGGCAAACGTTCCTGACATAAAACAATAGGAATTCTGCTGTTATTTCTGCATTAGCGAGTCATAAAACTCCAAAGAATCCCCAGTAGAAAGGTTTTCATCAAGTGCGTTTGAGACAGTAAGGGGGCATGAAGGGGGCAGTAACTGCGGAGAAGGGCTGCTGCCCAGACCCTGGCACCCAGAAAAGGCACTTGGTGGTGGGTTGGAAAATAGCATGAGTGACAGTATTAGTGCATTTAAGAACAACAACAGAAAACCTTAGTTAAAAGTATAAAATGAAGTTCAAAGAATTGTGTGTCAAAGAAAGTCTACCTATTGTCTAATGAGCAGCTGTGCATTACTGTAGTCTCTGCACCCACTTCCCCTCTTTTTCTGGAAAGACTCTCTTCTCACTTCCATACCCAGTTAAGTGGAGTGGTTAGCTCAGACTGACCCTCTTCTAAAATCTTCTAAAACTTCTAATCTCTTCTAAAACTGCTGGGCTGCAGAGACAGCTCAGAGGTTAAGAACACTGATTGTTCTTCCAAAGGTCCTGAGTTCAATTCCCAGTAACCACATGGTGGCTCACAACCATCTATAGTGAGATCGGGTGTCCTCTTCTGGTGAGTATGGCAGAACACTGTATACATAATAAATAAATCTTAAAAAAAAAAAAAAAAAGAAAAAGAATGTGCATAAAATCAACTGCTTCCCTTACATTGTCACTTAGTATAAGGGCAACAATTCAATTCTTGAAATCATAGAAAAATGAAAAGCAAAATAACAAAAAGAGCCACTCTCTTATTTAGACAGAAACAGAGGGCATGTTCATTCTCATTGCTGGAGACTCTTCTGTTACTTGATTCTTGGCCCTTTACAGTACTCCCCTGCGTCTCCCTTGGTGACAATCTAAGATCCCTCTCCTTCACCCCAATAAGTCTATCTTGGTTCCATGCAGAATTGGTCAACTAGATATCACAAGCTTTGTGATATTTTTAATAATGCTTAGTCTTTAGTTACTTGCTACAGAATGCCAAAATTGTGTACCCACCTTTTCTGTTTTAATCTAATTTCCTAATGGATATGTGAGTCTTGAATGACTTTGAAGGATATAGATAAGGCAAAATGAATTCTACCTACCAGTGGCTGTAAATGGTCACACAAATTCCCACCACACTTTGATGAGGAACAAACACCCTGAGCTGGATTTCTTTGGTAATTCCCTCCTTTTCTAAAAGAGTGACTTGCCTCCTATGGAAGACACGTATAGCAATTATTCCCAGAAGTAAAATATCTTAGGGAAATATATATTTTAACTACACGAATGTATCTCTCCTAGGAGAGTATCTTTTCATTTTGAAATTGATGCTTTTCGTTTTGAGTTTTGCAATAAAAATTCATGCATATGCTACGAGTTCTGTTTACTTCTGGTTTTGAGATAGGGTCTAAGTTGCCACAACTATACTTGAACTTCCTCTGTAGCCCAGGCAAGACTTGAATTGGAGGTCCTTCTGCCTCAGCCTCCTACGTAGCTGTTGCTTATTCTCTTAGGCATATCTCTGTCTAATGGAAGTATGAAACTGTCTTGGGGAAGGATCTGTGGCTACTCAGAAAGTTGTGGGTGGTAGATAAAAGGAAGAAGGTGGAGTAAGGCTGTTTGCTGTAGCTGAAAGCAGCGGAAGGTGCTAAGATGGGCATGAGGATTGTTAGCATCTCTTAAATCTCAGGTGTGCACACTGGAACCCTGAAGTTATTTTGTAAGAATTTGAAATAAGTTTTTTTCATTTTTAAAATCTCCAACATAACATTATAGTGCTTTTTAAGAATAAAGTAAAATTTGGTTTAAGAAAAACGAAGTGTAAATGAAGAGAACCTCCACATCTTCACAAGCAACTGGAATTCTTTCTATATTGCCTGTCTTTCCCAGACATTGATGAGTGTACCTCAGGGACCCACAATTGTAGAACGGATCAAGTGTGCATCAATTTACGTGGCTCCTTCACCTGCCAGTGTCCTCCAGGATATCAGAAGCGAGGCGAACAGTGTGTGGGTAAGTCCCTCGGTGCAGCACTAAGAGTCTGCCATGAGAATCTTTTTATTTTTATTACAGTTTATTCACTTTGTATCCCAGATGTAGCCCCCTCTCTCATCCCCTCACAGTCCTTCCCATCCCTCCCTCTTCTCTTCCCTTACCCCTCTCTCAGTCCACTGATAGGGGAGGTCTTCCTCCCCTTCCATCTGACCCTAGCCTATCAGGTCTCATCAGGAGTGGCTGCATTATCCACCTCTGTGGCCTGGTAAGGCTGCTCCCACTATCAGGGGAAGGTGATCAAAGAGCTAGCCACTGAGTTATTATCAGAGACAGTCCCTGTTCCACTTAGTGGGGAACCCACTTGGAGACTGAACTGCCATGGGCTACATCTATGCAAGGGTTCTAGGTTATCTCCAGGCATGGTCCTTGTTTGGAGTATTGGTCTTTGCAAAGATCTCTGGGCCCAGATTTTTTGTTCTGTTGGTCTCCTTGTGGAGCTCCTGTCCCCTTTCTGTCTTTAGGCATAAAACAAAGCCCTCCTATTTGATTGAAGAAAAATGCAGAACAACTGCTTCCTCCTTCAATGACTACCAATAGAGTTTCCAAATAACAAGAAGAACTTCAAGGCTGAACCTATCCTGAACATTAAAGTCCTATAGATTAACTGAAAGCAAAATTCTGGCCTGGATGTAATCATGAAGAACTAAGAACTAAGTTTTTAATTAGGGGTGCGTCGCTAGCATGCTAATGACAGGGCCTTCATTTGCCACTGCACAGCAGAGCATGGTGCAAGTCATAGAGCTCGAGTGACTCCTCTACTTCTGAGCCATATGAGTTCGTAGTTGTTTATGCTCTGTGGGTCACCCTGTGAGTGTGTCCTGGGGAGATGGCACTGGTCCCAGCTCAGGAGCTAGCTCGTGGGTGGCAGTGCTGAGCACACACGTGGTTTTGTGCCATGTGGCTGGCTGGGATCATCAGGAAGGAAGTTAACAGAGTCTAAAGCAGTGGTTCTCAATCTTCCCATGCTGTGACCCTTTAATACAATCCCTCATGCTACGGTGACCCCCAACCACAAAATCATTTTGTCTCTGCCTCATAACTGTGATTTTGCTAGTGTTGTGAATATCCGACATGCAGGATATCTGATAAGCAGCCCCCAAAGGGTTTGTGACTCGGGTTGAGAACCACTGATCTTAAAGCCTTCTTACATTGCAAGTTTTTGCTGGTGTCTAAAGGAAGCACTGTACCCGAGGGAGACTGAGAGGACATGTCCCTGAGGTCTGGGACCATGTCAGCTTGTGTCACTACTGGTGCCACTGAGAGTCCAGTACACGGTCTGTGCACATCCTGAATGAATGGAAGAGCACAGCCTGAGGAGGCCAGCTGGCACACGCTGACGTAAACAACACTCTAACTCAATCTGGAGGCCCAGCAGGAGGCATGAAGCCCTGTGATTGGCTCCTTCTGCCCATCAGTTTACATACCTAACCTCTTGCCACAGACCAGTGGAAAGGCCACATTTTCTCTGAGGGGCAAAGAGTAAGGGTCTAGGGACAGGCAGCCAGCATCAACTTCCACCTGAGAATGTAAGCTGTTGACACGAGTGTGTCAGCACTCAGCTCCATGTGGATGCTGGCTGGCTGTGCTTGCCACAGGTGTCCAGGTGCTGGAATGGGTGCTCAGACTCAAGGAAAGACCAGGGTTCGTAACGCTGGAAGCTATGATGCGGAACAAGAGTGCTGGAAAACTCCACAGATGCCAAAGCTCGGGTTAGGCAGGAAAATAAACACTGACAGCCTAAAAGTACAGTAGCAACACACCCCACCACCAGGGAGCTGCAGACAAAGGAACACAAAGTGACAGCCTTTATGGGAAGTAGAAAGATGAATTCACATCTGTTCGTATGTGTGCTCTCACCTACAAGGTAACTCCGCACTCCTCAGTAGGACATAAAGGAGCTTTCCCATCAGTTCTACTGCATCAACCCTCCTTCCCCAGGACAGCTGCATCCCAGCTTCTCAGGGGCTACGGTTCTGTGCACAGGCTACATACTCTTTCCACAACACTGAGACACTTCCCTACAAACCCCTGTTCCACTAGCAAATCCCGGTTCAGGGCCACCTTCTTCCAGTTAAGATGAAGTAGACTTTGGGGGAAGTTTGCAATCTCTTGTGTTGGTTTCAGTTGCATGGCTCACTTAGCATGTCCCCTGCGATTCTGTATTTGTTATGGACCGACCCAATACTCACGGACCACCACGGTCAGCAGGCCCCTTTGGGCAGCTCAGTGTTCTCTGTCTCTTGTGTGCCTCTCTATCATTGATCTTCTCACTCTGCAGAGTAACGTGATTATGCTTGCATCCCATGCCAGACAAACGCAGGGTATATGCGCAGTTATGGTCCTACAATCTCAGCACCGAGCGCAATGTTGTGAAATGAATGTCAGGCACCACTGACTCATTGTATATTCACCGAGAGCTGTCTGGATGCCAGGTACCATTCTAAATGCTGAAATACTGGATTAGGGAAAAAAAAAACCTACAGAATCATTGCTCTGAGGGATCTATTAGAAAACACCATTCATACATACTGACTAGCAGTAGCAGCACCTGGCCATCACACACAGTATCAGGAAATACTGTAAACAATACATCTTAACTGATGCAAGGTTTCTATGTATCAAATAAAGTAATTGAGCACCTACTATGTTAGTCCTTCTTCTGACCACTAAGCGTATAGCAGTGTGCAGACAAATATCTTTCATCTCCACCTCAAGGGGAAGAGGCAGCTCTTATTTGCCACAGACAATAGTGAGAGAGACAGAGAAGCAAATAAACACATATCTCAACATTAAGCAACAACAGGGACTACAGGGAAGTCTAAAGCAGGATAAGAGGGTAGAGGGGGCAAAACAGACTCTCTGAAAGGTGTCTTCTCTGAGGAAGGGCCATGGAGCAGATACAGGAAGCTATGTGGATGTCTCTCGCTAGCTCTTTCGGTGTGCTGACAAAATCAAAAACATCTCGCATCTTTCCGTTAATGCCTCCCACTTCATTGTCTGGTGTGCCCCAGATACATTGCCTACTCTGCACCATGCAAACTTTCCAACCATCTTACCATATGAAAGAGGAAATGGAAGCTTCAGAAGCTGAGACAGTGCGTCGCCAGAGCAGAGATTCAAACTCAGATTAGCTTCGTGTCGTGCGATCTGCGCACACTATTCCTAACATCGGCACACTTTTGTCTTGTTTTGCTGTGTTTTACCATGAGGTAATAGCACTCTATAGTGCTGTATTGTATGTGCAAAACTGTCCTATTAAATTATACATGCTATGCTGGAGATGTCACGATGTATAGGCGGGAAGAAATGACATTTTATTTTGCTTCTAAGAAGCCCCATCCCTGAAAGTTCTCAGCTGAGCATTTTATAGTTGCAAATATTTATCAAGGGACACAGGATGGAACACTTCATCTAAATGTCAGAACATTTTCAAGAGGTCACTTGTGTAGCATCCTTTCCTTTCACAATGTTCTTTCATTTTACGCTCTCAAAACTTCCTAAGATACACATGGCAAGCCCTCCTATCAATGCCCTGAACACCAAGATACAAATGTTTAAATGGCTAAGCCACAGATACCAGCTGAGTAGAGCCTACATCGCTTCTCTCTTAATTATGTGCTGCCGCCGTTATTCTTTTTCATTTTCCACATTGATTGTGGTTTTGGCGCACCAAGCTGACATCCTCATGTGTGTGTGGAATGCTCTTAATTACCTCAACTCACTTATTTACTGCTGACATCAGGGTGTGATTGGTCTTTGTTCTTTATGTCTTCCTTAACTGATGACCAAAGTATATTTAAAACACATATATCCTAATTTTAAGAGAGAGGGTGAAAAGGAGAGACTGAGGAAGGGAGAGAGGAAGATTATTTTTAATCCAGGGTCCTCCTGAGATATGTTTTCTATATTATCTCCGCTCAGAATCTGGTAAGTCAACAACTTGGTTCTGGTTTTTAGGGGGTTGGGTTTTTTTTGTTTTTGTTTTGCGTGTTTCGTTTGGTTTCGGTTTTACCATGTAGCCCTCGCTGTCATGGAACCCACTATGTAGACCAGGTTAGCCTCAACTTACTGACACTGGCCTATCCCTGCCTTCCATGTGCTAGGATTAAAGGCATGCACCACTATGCCCAGCTAACAACTTGGTTCTATGTCTGTACCATCTACTTAGATATAGATGAATGCTCTGTGCCTCCATATTGCCACCAGCGATGTGTGAACACACCAGGTTCCTTTTACTGCCAGTGCAGCCCTGGATTTCAGTTGGCAGCAAACAACTACACTTGTGTGGGTAAGTCTCGTGAGAGCTGCCCTCCGACAGCCCGGCTCCTGCCTCCAGGAAAAGAAAGCCTCACTCTAGTGCGCTGTTTCTGCTGTTCTGTGCTCCCCAGTGAAGCGGTTTCCATCACTTTCCTTGGGTCAGAAAGCTGAGGAGACAACAGCTAATCAGGATGGGAATGGAAAACATTTTTTAACCACGGTTTTAGTTCTCCTGTGTGGGTGTATTAAAAAAAAAAAAAAAAAAAAAAAAAAAAAAAAAAAAACGTAACTACAGATCAGTAGATACACACACCTCGGTTAGTCAACAGTGTGTGACAGAATGCTAAAGAGGCCAAAAGGTCATTGGAAGTTCAGACATCTAAACTTTGAGCTAATGGTGTGATATTGCACGCCTCTTCTTGACTGTCAGAGTGCAGTGTCATCCATGGCACATGATTCTGAGACTGGCACAACCTGGAAAGAATCTAGTGCAGGAAAGGCAAAATGCCTTTTTACAGTATTTTCTGTGTGCTGGAATAAGTCTGCAAGAGCCTCAAAGTCTTATGCCATCATTGTCAAGGAATTTAACATAAACCATTTAAAAAGTAATAAATATCCCAGATAAGCCTTTACCACTGCATGCTGAGCGACCGTATCGGTTCAAGTGTTCTATAACAATTATTTATGGACTTGGCATTTTTAATCTGAACAATATAGGAAAATGGATGCTGGAATGTATATTAATTAGAAGCACTAAAGTCTTTGGGGGTAGATTTATCAAACATCAAACTGTCATTCCTAAATATATTTATATATATTATGGTACTTCTAAAAGAAGTGTGTGACAGACCTTTGAAGTTGTTCCAACAGTTGTAAAACTGGGTGTATGTTCTCCAGTGAGCTTGAACAGTGACGGAACTACTTACCATCAGATGACCTAGCCCTCTCCCCCCCAAAAAAAATGCCCAGCTACAGACACAGAGACACATGTACTTCTAAAACCTTTCCTTGCAGATATAAATGAATGTGATGCCAGCAACCAGTGTGCTCAGCAATGCTACAACATTCTCGGTTCATTCATCTGTCAGTGTAACCAAGGATATGAACTGAGCAGCGACAGGCTCAACTGTGAAGGTAACGTGTTGTCCAAGAATCTCACAGCAAGGGCAACCATATCGATGTCCCGTGCTGATTGTTCTGCCGGTGAAAACAAAATCTTGTTCTTGAATTCCTATAAACGCAGCTCAGTGGAAGCCTTGGCTTTTGAGTCTGTTGCTGGAAGAAACAAGGAGCATCAAGTAGCTGGGACACAATGGGGTAGCCTGGGGGTATCCTGATTCTCATAGCTGCAGCTTCTGCTGAGAGCTTTTGAGAAACTGAGAATCTCAGACCATGGCCAAAATTCCCCTAGGCAGAATCTGCACATTCAAGTTTACATGGAGCTGAGGGTGTGGTGAAGATGAAGAGACCTGGCTCCTAGTATGGCTTTTTCCCTGCTGTGTATAGCTTGGACACACTTTTAAAGAAGCCTGGGTTGTAGTTTCCATTGAGTAAAAAGATGGTCACTCAGTGGAATGGGTAGCCTTCACAGTCCAGTAAATATGCTCATCCTTGGTAATTCTAGGTGCTTGAGACACCCTAAAGGGGATAGCATCCACACCGATGCTCATACCTCCCTCATAATTCTGTCCACGATTATTTGGGACCACATAGGTCACAGTCCATCCGAAGAAACTCAAACCATGCAATTGTGTTTAAAACCATTAGGAACCAGCTCAAGACTGCTGCCTCCACCCTGCTTAGCAAACTGTAGGATGGTTGCTAATTCTGAAATGCAAAAGATTCTTCTCCAGGAGGCCACATTATGCAAAGATGTCACCTCTGCAAAACTGCACAGGGAGTGGACTTGAACTTCAAAGTGCAGGAGAGTTCAGCAAGAGAGTCACATCACTACTGAACAGGCAAACACAGACCTGCTACCTGAGTAGGTCTGCAGAACCCAAAGTGAACAGTGTCACTCGCTTGTCTGCTTAGCTTCAGTGAAAACTGCTGTAAGAAAATGGATGCAGGCTGGGAGGCTGAGAGAGGAGCAGATGGATGCTGCTACAGCTGGCCCCGGCACTTCAGAGAGAGCCTTTTTCCTTCTGTCCTAGAGTTTGTACTGTTTTGACACTCTTTAGCTTACCTAAAAGCATGTGTAATAAAACCAGTGGCAGGAAAGTTTCTCAGCTCTGTGTTTGTGCTTTTGTCCGGTTCTACAGATATCGATGAATGCAGAACCTCAAGCTACCTGTGTCAATATCAGTGTGTCAATGAACCCGGGAAGTTCTCGTGCATGTGCCCACAGGGATACCAAGTGGTGAGAAGCAGAACCTGTCAGGGTAAGCTCATAGTTCTCACATAGGTGAAAGGTGTGCAGATAGCTGGCAGGAGTGTAAAGAAAGTCAAAGGAGTCAGACTTTCATTTTCCAAACTTGACTGTACAGTTTGAGCTCCTAATTCACAAGGCAACAGAGCACATTTTATGAAAGGAAGATTCATTGGTAACCCTTTCTTCAAACTTTAACTTCCTTTGCAAGAATGTAATTTAAATTATGTTTGGATCTCTTAATATCTTAATATCTATGGAATTATACCTTCCAATAATCTACCAAAAAAGGTTCAGTCACCAAAATATTTCACTCTGAGTTTCAGTTCAGAGCCCAATATCAGACTTACCTTCAACAAGCCCCCAAGTCTCCGAAACATAAAAATTCTGAATGCTGTACACGTGGAGGGGGATGGAGGGTCTCGCTATAGAACCCAGGCTCAGATTGCTAGTCCTCCAGCTAGTCCTCCAGCACTGCTTCCTAGATCGCAAGCACATGTGTAACTCCCAGACAAATAATGTAGGGTTTTAGGTGTTAAAGAAAACAAAACTCATCGTGATGGATATTAAAAATGTATTTGAATAACTCAAAAAAAAAAGCAAATATTGGTCCAATAACAGCTAATGACCATGGCCTCAATTTCAAAATTAAGGTCAAATGATCCTTGTGTCTTCACACAGGTAGAAGAGAGAACCTCTCTGCAAACACATGATTCAGAGTCTGGCTAGAAGATGGAAAATACGTACCCTCCTCCCCTAACCTCCAATGCTATTTAGTTTGAAATTTCATTAATGGGAGAAAAATCGGCAAACAAAGGCAAAAAAATATAGATAATCCCAGAAAATCTAATATAAACACATTTACACAAAACAGTGGAAAAAAGAAAAATTGACTGACCCTAGTGGCAGAAAACGTACTTGAATCTAAGTCTATAGCATTCTAGCTGCACACTCAGAACAAATAAGCACACTTCTCAAAACCTTGGCTTTCTCTTTCGAAAAAGGGAAGTGTGGGAATGAAACAAAATAGCACATTAAATGCTTTACACTACTCGCTGTTTTAATGAAACGCATTTAGCAATGTAAATGAGCAATAGTAAATCTCTAGAGAGTCCTTTTTACTTGGAATTATAAAGAGGACAGGAAAGATCTTATTTTTAAAAGAACAAGACCAAGGGTATGTGGACTCTTAGACTAATATCACAATTGCATGGGGAGCTATGGACTTAGAGGACATTCAAGACTTGGGATTTTGTAGTACATAAACAGACCCCAGCCAGCAGGGATAAGCATAATCTGAATGACTTCTATAGCACAATGAACACTTTTATAACCCTTTCCATGATCCTAGAAACTCTGTAAATGTTAATTGTGGCATTCCAGTGATTACACAGAACTGTGATTGAGATACGAATATTGCATGCAGTAAAGTATTAGCTAGTCAAATATTTTAGCCAATTCCCCTGGAAGCATTCAAGCAAATGTGTCTGTGTGATTCTAATCACAAGTGGATTTGATAGTCAGCAAGGATGGCTTTAAATTATTGCATAATAGGATCTTATTTGCCTAGGCTACATCTCCAGAAATATTTGTTATAACTGAGGATAAAAAAATGTATTGAAATCACAAGTGGGAGTTGACAAGTGTTGTCATGGTAGAGATACACAGCAGCAAGACGCTTGGTTATACAAACTATCTCTTCGTCAAGCAGACTTGCACTGCTTCAACATTTAAATCAATTGTGCTCCTCTGAAACCCCACTCCAGAACATTTGAAAAAACAAAGGGAAAACCTAACGTACATGGATTCTTATCTTCTTCCAAGAGGTTCAAAGGGTCTGATGTAAATGTTCTCAGGACCATAAGCTCACAAAAATCAGAGCACCAGGCATGTGTGTGTCTGGAGAGGGTCAAAATAAAGATGTACTTGCCCATACATACATTCTGAATATATATATATATTCTGATATTGAACATGTAGTCTATTCAGATGTCAATGCAGTAAACTTAGTCTTGTGTCTAAGAGCAAACTCAACAAGCCAGGCGTGGTGGTATACACACATAATCCTAGATCTAAGGAAGCTAAGGGACGAGAATTTGTGCTCAAGGCCAGCTTTGATTATGTAATGAGTTCCAAGCCAGCCTACTTTACATGGCAAGACCCTGACACCCACCCCAAACAAATAAAAATAAATAAAAGCAAACTGTCCGCATTCCCTTCCATGCATTTCCTTACAAACCAGAATCTGCTACTCGTACAATTTGCTTATGTCAGTAAATTCTTTAACCCTGTGACTACAGATATAAATGAATGTGAAACCACCAATGAATGCCGAGAAGATGAAATGTGCTGGAATTATCACGGTGGCTTTCGTTGTTACCCACGAAACCCATGTCAAGATCCTTACATTCTAACATCAGAAAAGTAAGAGACATTAGAACCTTGAAAGGTAAGAATCTCCTGGCCCTCCCGAGCCAAACTGGTGACTGCTTCTGTTTCTGTCTCTGCAGCCGTTGTGTTTGCCCTGTCTCAAATGCTATGTGCAGAGAACTGCCCCAGTCCATAGTCTACAAATACATGAGCATCCGCTCTGACCGGTCCGTGCCATCAGACATCTTCCAGATACAGGCCACAACGATTTATGCGAACACCATTAATACTTTTCGGATTAAGTCTGGAAATGAGAATGGAGAGTTCTACCTACGAGTAAGTACACTCAGGTAGCACTGGCTGCTGTGAAGGTGGCCATTTATGGTGTACATTCCCATGGAAGTTAGGTTAAAACCAAAAAGTTTCATGTGTATGCATTGTGTACAGCCTTCTGGAGCATATGCGGTAATTCTTCCAGTTATTAAAATCTACTTTTTACAGAAGAGTGAGATTCTGAAACGTTAAGTAATCCCCTCAAAGCCACCCAGATCCCAGGCCGAAGAATCAAATAAAGCTATGCACGACTTCCCAAAACACAAGTGTGCCTCAAACACGTACTGCAAATGCATGCTGTTTAATTGTGCAGAGAAAACACTCTAAAAGCTTTTATCGTGGTAAAGTTTCTATATTGTTTTGATGTTTACACATTTATCCTGTTCCTTGATGTATTAACTTCCTTCTTCTCCAGAGGAACAGGATTCCATTTCTCTGCAAGAAAATTAGAAGTAATTAATTTCTCAGAGCCAATTTCTGAAGAGAAAAACTCAACTCAAAATACAACTCAAAATCTATTGCTTTTATTTTTCCTAATAGGAAAGATTGAGTTATCCTAAGTATTTGTAGAAGTTGCCTCAACATGAGCTTTACACAATTTAGATGCCTAGCGATAATTAGTAACTGCATGGTAGCACTATAGTCTCATCTCAAAAGTTTCTTTAAAAGTTAACTTTCTATTTTGAACTTTTATCCATCACTGAGGATGATCAAAACTTCCCGCTCTAACCATCAGGCAGTTAGATGAAGTCCTATCATGTTTTTTTCTCTACAGTAAACATGGAATTTTGAAATTAATTTTTAGTTAATCTACTTTTATTGACTTGGTTTTTAAAACATAAATAATATTTTTCTCCAGAAATCATATTCTCTGGGTCTTTGATTTGATTCCATTGATCCACCAGTCTGTTTCCATGCCAGTACCATGCCATGTCAATTATTTTACTGTTGCTCTACAGTACAGCTTGAGATCAGGAATAGAGATACCTCCAGAAGGTCTTTTATTGTATAGAATGGTTTTGGCCATTCTGAGATTTTTGGTTTTCCATACGAAGTTGAGAATTTTTCTTTCAAGGTCTATAAAGAATTTTGTTGGTATTTTGATGGGAATTGCATTGAATCTGGAGACTGCTTGTGAGCCATGAGCATGGGAGATCTTTCCATCTTCTGATATCTTCTTCTAATTTCTTTCTTCATAGACTTGAAGTTTTTTTCATCCAAGTCTTTCACTTGTTTGGTTAGAGTTACAGCAAGATACTTTACATTTTTTGTGGCTATTGTGAAGTGTGTTATTTCCCTAATTTCTTTCTCAGCCTGTTTGTCTTTTGTATATAGTAAGGCTTCTGATTTTTTTTTTGGTTAATTTTTTATCCAGCCACTTTGCTGAAGGTGTTTATCAGCTACAGGTGTTCCCTCATAGAATTTTTGGGGTCACTCATGTATACTATCATATCATCTGTGAATAGTGACACTTTGACTTCTTCTTTTCTGATTTATATCCCCTTGATCTCTTTTAGTTATCGTATTGCTCTAGGTAGGATTTCGGGTACTATGTTGAAGAGATATGGAGAGAGTGGGAAACCTTGCCTTGTCCTTGATTTCAGAGGAATTGATATAAGTTTCTCTCCATTTAGTTTGATGTTGGCTATAGGCTTGCTGTATATCGCCCTTACTATGTTTCTCGTGAATGATACAAAACATTACCAATTTGGTATAGTGTTATGTAGTTTAAATTATTTGAAATTAAAACAAAAACATTTAAAGCTAGATGTGGATGCATATGCTTGAAATCCCAGCATTCAAGAGATAAGAGTCAGAAGGATTGAAAGGTTGAGGCTAGCCTGGGCTATCTAGTAAGTCTAGGGCCATCCTTGGCTATCTAGTAGGTCTGAGGTCAGTCTGAAGTTCTGAAAAGATCTCTTCTCAAATTAGGAAAAAGAATAAGAAAAAATAACTTAATAAAAATAGATGCCCTAAGGGTATTCATCAAACAATCAAAATGGAGTCCTATAAGATTTCTACACTCTAGACAGCATTTAACACATAAGAATCAGCCAGAAGGAATCAGGTGAGTACCAACTGTGGTCTCAGCCTTCTGCTGGCTGCTTTGAGAATCTAAGACATTCAGTACAAAGTTCTGCTTTCAAAGAGCTTCTCACTGTGCAATTTACTGTCCAATTCCCTGGCCTAAACAGAGGCCAATGCTATGGTTAATCTCACTCAGCAAGAGAGTAGAAGGAATGGTTCAGGTTCCTCAGAAGAAGGCCAAAAATAAAGAAGGGCTACCTCTGGCTTCTGCCACCCTGCCAAATCCAGCCAGGCCCTGCAGTTTGTTGTCACTGAGAACAGCATCCCATGAGAACCTTGGTCTTCAGTGGCCTATTCATTAACTTCTTTCTTCATGCACTCACTCCCACTCTCTGAACTGTCACCAGCACCCCACTTCCCCAGCCAGCCACTCCAAATAAATCCTATTACCCATATATCTCATGCCAAGCTTGTAAGCACAGGTTGGTAACACACTTACAGATAGGTCCTTAGTATGCTCAGCAATATTACTGATTTTCTTGTGCATTTTTATACCATTTTATACCATTCTCCTCGGCTCTCATTCACTTTCTGCTTTGTAATCACAGACACTAGCACTGACACGAACAAGCATAAATTTTTCGTTCTGCCCCCTGAAAGTGTACATCTGTGTTCTCCATCTAGTTTCCAAATATATTTTATAATTATCAGTCGAGCCCAACCCAACACCACGTATCCATCATTCCATCTCCCTCAGAGCCCTACTCTGCTGTACTCCCCTTTATAGCCTACACTTCGAGTGTGTTTCTCCCTCGAGATGTTATTCTGTATCTCTTCTTCCTCGGAAGACTAGGCTACTCTGTGCTTTCAGGATTCTTGGCCATTTCATTGTCTTTCAGTCCAAATACTTTACTGAAGTTGCTGTAGGGGAAAAGCCACCAATGACATGTGTAATGTTAAATCCGAGGACACTTTTCAGTTTCAACATTCCATTCTCTTTTGCTCTGTTTGACACTGCTGTTCATGTGCATGTTCTCCGCTGAAGCATCTATTTCTTCTTCGCTTTGTTCTTTACCTGGTTTTCAAATTATTTATGTGAATGTATGTATTTTTATGAGTATATAGACACATGTGTCTAAGTGCCTACAGAGGCCCTGAGAGTGTGTCAGATCTCTAGGAGTCCGAGTTATAGGCAGTTGTGAGCCACCTGATGTAGGTTCTGGAATCTGACCTCCATTCCTCATGTTAGAGCAGCACCAAGCTTAGCCACCACTCCGTCTCCATAGCCTTAGCCTCATGCTCTGATTTCTCTCCTCTCCCCATTCCTTCAGTGCCATCCTCTCCCGGGTTCTGCACTGTGTGTCAGTTTAATGCATACCCCTTGTAGTGATGGCTAAATCTTAATCCGTGCTTCTGCCTTTCTGTGTTTTACTTACTGACCTCTCCAATGCTTCTGCCTGCCACCCTTCCATGCCTGCTCCATGTGCAATCCTGAAGATGCCGTTTTACAGAACTTCTCTTGCTCGCTGATGATGCTAAGGTAGAGGCTCTCAACCTTGCTAATGCTGCAACCCATTTCTCAGGTTGTGGTGACCCCCACAATCATAAAATTATTTTCATTGCTATTTCATAACTGCAGTTTTGCTGTTCTTATGAAACATGGTATAAGCATGTTTTCCAATGGTCATAGGTGACCCCTGTGAAAGGGTCATTCGACCTCCAAAGAGTCTTAATCCACAGGTTGAAAACCTCTGCTCTAAAGAATTTGAAAGCTTTATCTCAATGTTTCAGGAATATGTATGTATGTATGTATGTATGTATGTATATATGTATGTATTCCTTTGTACTCATACTATGTATATACAAATAACCCAAAATTTGTCATATTCTACTTAAGTTGACTACTTACCTAACTCTGCTTGTGTGTTTGTGTGTTTGTTTGTTTGTTTACTTGTTTATTTGTTTGTTTGAAACAGGGTATCTCTATGTAGCCCTGGATGTCCCAGAACTCGTTTATGTAGACAAGGCTGGTCTTGAACTCTGCCTGCCTCTCCCTCTGGGACACAAGGCATGTGCCAACATGCCTGGGTATTTACCTAACTCCCTATTCACCAGAATGTAAACAGATGTACAATGTTAAGAAAATGACAAATGACAACATTCTTTACCACTTCGAAGATCAATAGATTCTCACGTGAACTCTTCAGAAAGTCTGGAACCGTTCTATTCATGGGTAGAGAAATGTTAACAACAAAGAAAAAATCGAAGTGCTAACACGTGTCAACAAGACACATGAGAAAATAAGAGAAATTTAAAAGCAAGTCCTTGCATTCAGCTAGTGCAGATGAGTGGGCTAGGGTAGGAATGAAGGTGAGAAGCAAGCAGGAACTAGGCAATGCTTTTCCGCCCTGTTATTTGCCCTGTTTATCACAGGAAGCATGCTGACAAAAGACAGGAACTCTAGCCCAAGAAAAATCACGCTCTTCACCGCTCTTTTTCTCACTGTTTTAGCAAACCAGCCCTGTGAGTGCGATGCTTGTGCTTGTGAAGTCACTGTCGGGACCAAGAGAATACATCGTGGACCTGGAGATGCTGACCGTCAGCAGTATAGGAACCTTCCGCACGAGCTCCGTGCTGAGACTGACGATCATAGTGGGGCCGTTCTCATTTTAGCCTTCTGTAGGAGCCTGCCACGGCATTGAGACCAGCCAAAGAATAGCATCACCTTAAGACACTATTTTATTTATAGCTATATCTAGTACATCTATACTCAGACAGCTATACTATGGTAGGAAGCGGGCATTTAATCTGTAAGATTCAAAGTTTATCTTTATCACTGTGTGTAAATAGACATTAACCCAACATTCTTCTTGAAGGGAGCTAAGCATGTATTATCTGGTAAAACTTGGTTTCTTTCCTATAAAAATGGGAGCAAGCAATGAGTTGTTCTGTGGTGTACGGAGAAATGTGCACCACCTCATACCAGCTATCTTGACATCAACAGCGAGGAGGAGGAGCTTTTTTAATGCTTTGTAAGAAAATGAAAAAAGTCAATAAAGATATATTTCTTTAGAAAATGAGAATCTACCATGTTTCTGTTGGCCTATATTTTAATTATCAGTTTAAAGGTACTTGTTTAGTGTTTAGCAGTAAATTATTATCAGGCAATATGCTGGTTTCTACAGGATATCTTAAAGTTTGGCAGGAATTTCCCCCACAATTCCAAACAAATCAAATATCTCCTCAAAAATTATTCTATGGAGAAGTCTATGAGGAATAGAAAAAAAAATCTTTTTTTTTCGGAACCATTTTAGAATTCTCCAAAGAAGCAAGTTAGGGGTACATGTAATAGAAGCTCTGAAGCAAGGAATACGCTCCCAGCTCAGAGGGAAATGGAGAAAACGTGCTTCCCTGGAGACACTCCTGTTTCTAAGCCTCACTTCTACCAAGCCTCAATTTTGCCAGCAAGAGTCTAACACTAGTACTTGTACTCACAGATGAAGAAATGGTAGCTTTTTACTCTTAGAAGTCACATTATCCCTCCTGCCCAATTCTCTAAAAAGATTACATATCTTGTTTATTTAAAATAATTCTCCTTGATATATCTATTTTAACTAAAAATGAATATTCTTTTATTTAGAAGATCACCCAGGTTTCAGCTGTTTTTAATGTGATCAGTAACAGCCAGTGTATTTTTTATATATTGAGAAAAATCAGTTATAGCTGTCAGACCAAGAATAACCATTATATTATATATAAATAATAAACTAGGAGATGAAGACACATGAAGGCTATTAAAATCATGCCACAAAAACAATGTGCACAACCAATATTTTTCTTACATTTCATTTCAAAGCACAAATAAATGACCCTGCCATAAGTAACCTTGAAAACAAATGTCTTTTTGAAGTTGACTAAATGTGTAAGAACTGTTGAAAAGAAAGCTCACTAAGGAACAAAATACAAACTCCTTGAGCATAGGGTGGGAGTGAGCCTTATGAGCTTCAGGACAGAAACAGAAGAAAGAGACCCTGCTGAGCAGCCATGACCACACCCAACTCAACATCTACTCCAGAGCCTACAATCCACATCAATTAAAGATTGACTTCAACTTTGCCATTTAATCAATCTAGATTTCCCTGCCCGTAGACAATACCCTCAAGTCAGAGCTTAATACGAGAACACTTTAGGAAACTGGGATCTACCATATTCGTGTTGGTTTTTATTATAATGATTAATCTTAAGGCAGATATTTATGGCAAAGCATTAAATCACTGTAGTACAGCATGCTGGTTTCTACGGACATTTTAAACTTTGTCAGAAATTTCACCCAAGATTTTCCATCTCAAAAAGACAGTCTTGTCTCTAGATAACCAGTGCGCTACAGAAGTAACAGGAATCTATAGAATATTCATGCGTAACTGCTGGCCCTCCGCCCTCACCTCCAAACACTGCATTTATTACCTGGAGCAACAGAAGCCATTGGCTGCCAAAAAGCATGATTTCCTTTTTATCCCAAGCCTGATCCAACCCACAAGTCACAGACATGTTTAAAGGCTGACACATACTGCAGTCCTATTAAGTCCCTTTCTTTAAACTGTCGTTAAATGCACACAACATATAATACACTGTCTTACTGTGCTCAGGTCTGAAGAGCACATTTCAGTGCACACAGCACACTCAACAAGGCATGCAGCTATTAACCTCTTTCTAGATCCATAACATTTTATTCACTTAAAGAATTAGCTCAGTATCATTGTTCCCGGTCCTGCTTGTCACATGACTTGGTAAGAGCTCCCATTGAGCGGCTTCTGTCTTGATTTGTCAGTTCTGACATTTCCCATGAATAGAAACTTATATGTGGCCTTTTGTGCCTGGCTTCTTTCACTCAGTATGTTTCCAAATTCACAGCCAATCATGTATCCGTAATTCTCCCAACACAGTTTATCTCTGTAACTCATTCCTTTTGTGTCCATCGCATAGATAAACATTTTGCTCATCCATTCATCAGCTATTAGATATCACCTGATATGTTGTTTATGCCTATAATTCTTATCATATGTTTCATCAAGAAACTGATAATTTATACACTCATTTCAGAGCAAAAATTAACCCACTTTCAGCTAAATTTTGCCTAGGAAAGAATAGCAAGTAAATTTTTTTTTTTTTAATCCATAGGATTACTGGCTTGCGAAGAAATTGAAGCTTACACATGAGTTCTTCTATGGGTACAGTAATCCTCAGCACATGTAACAATCCTCGGTAGTCATAAAAACTGAGTGCTCACTTTGACTGTAGTTTGAAATTCAAAATCAGCGATGACCCAAAATAAACCAGAACAGGAAGACAAAGGCCTGCTTTGTTCTCCAGCTCCACAGTGCCCTCCCTCTGTCCTTGCAAATCATTGATCTGAAGCAGTCTCCATCACTGGGAACTACAGCAGGGATTCACTGCCACAATTAGGCTTTTCCTATGGCACACATTCATTGAAGATTTCTGCTGCAACCCCACACAACACTGGTCAATGTGACGCAGAAGCGCCAGGATTCTAGTCTCGATCTTAATTGTATGCAGGTAAGAGACTTGACCGATTCACAAAGCCTCTCAGTGACTCTGTCACTTTATCTGTAACATGGGAAGGTTGAAACAAGGTGTGTTCTCAATTTTAAAAACTTTTTAATCCCCACCCCGTGGTTAGACTGAGAGCTCCTTCAAAGCACCTGGGTGTTCTGGGAGTGTGGCCATTGGTGAGAAGTACCGTATCCTGTGGAATAAAATAGTTCTATCCAAAATGAGTCCTCACAGTATTAGTTCATTCTCCGAGAAGAAAATAATCCAGCTCAGCTACAAACTTTTTTAAATTACATTTTAAAATGAATTTGTATATACTGACTCTTAAATAATGTCTTTTTTTAAAATATGGGGGTTGGTCAGAATACGTGAAAGTCGGAGGATTACACATGGCAATCTTGTCTCTCTTTCCACCTTGTGAGTTTGGGGACTGAATTCATGTTCTCAGGCGTGGCAGCAAGCACCTACCCACTGAGCTGTCTCACCACCCATTTCTCTTCACTGCTAATAACTGAAATAGGTTTATTCCATGAAAGTCATTTTACCTTGTTTTGTGCACAGAAAAGGAGGCAGCCGCATGTTCCCGTGATGCAGTAAGCTTCCAGAAAAAGTCTATGCTTTTCCTCAGTGAGTCTCAGAAGTGAGGACTGATAAGACCCATCCTAATGCTAAGGCTGGATCAGGCCTTTATGCTTTCCTTATGGATGAATAGTCTGAGGGTGGTCAGGAAAGGTATGGTATTAAGTCCTCTCAAAAAGAAGGATTTTTTTTTTCCCTCAGTTGCAAAAATCTTCATCCCAAGCAGCTTGACAACATGCAATTTCCATTCCCTTAAAATAAAAGTGTCTCCTGTCACACATAGTCATTTGTAAGTAATAAAAGGACTTCTTAACTTCTCTCTGATCTTGTCAGGTCCCCTGGCTTCTAAAACTTGCTCAAGGCTACAATGTCTTGAGCAAGGTCGCTGTACCCAGAGTTAAGTCATAAAACGTTAGCCTTACTCCAAATTGCAACATCACCAGGCAGTGCTTCTCTTCCTGAGCTCCTGCAGACAATCCATCCACTGTGCATTACTGGGCCAGCCTTGCCAGTTATGTGATCTGCTGTCACAGCCACTGTCGCACACAGTCATGTTAAAATCATTCACATCCAAAACTGAGTTATTTACTTTCTTAAGCTGTAGCAAATTTGTTTCCTTTAACTTCAGAGAGGCAGAAGTGCTTAACACAAAAGGTCCCTCAATGCTTTGAAATGCAAGGGTTCTACATGAAAGGACAGCAGTTCCCTGAAGAAATGAAAGCCTGCCTGTAAATGCTGGACTGGAGTAAGTAGGAACCCTTAGAGGCAGAGTGGAGAAGATGGTCTGTGCTCTGCTGGCCATGGAACTGGAGGAAAAGGCTTACAGAGCCCATGCTGCCACGTGAATTAATATAAAGAATAATTAAAAGATAATATAAAAGACAATAATATAAAGATTAATATAAAGAATACCAACATTCATAAGTCACTACTGAGGGAGAAAATATGTACAGTAAACATCACAGAAAAGGTGGTTCCTTTAGAAGGCTGGAAAAGAAAGTCATAGTGAACACATTAGTCATCAGTGGGGCCTTAACTCCTTTCATGATTTGTAAGAATGAGAGAGAGAGAGAGAGAGAAAGAGAGAGAGAGAGAGAGAGAGAGAGAGAACAAGCACTCAGGTAAAGATGTGATGACTTGAGTTCAATCCCCAGAACTCACAAGATGAAACAAAGAATTGACTCCAACAAATTGTCCTCTGACACACACATACACCCACACATATATATATGTAATATATATATATATATTTGTATACATATATACAAATATACACATGTAATTTTTAATTTAAAGAACATATTTAAAAATAATTATTTTAAAATGTAAGTACTAAGAGGTAGGGCAGCACTAGAAATCACCTCCCCATGTCACCGCTCTCTAGAGAGAGATGACATAGTGAATCTAAATGATGACCTAGAAAAACCGCTTCACCATCTAAGACACTGAAGTTCAGTGTCACAATCGCTCTGGACGGTGCCTCACAAGCCAGCCTATGGTTGATCCGTGTCTCCATGAGTCCACAAAGTTGCTTATGTTTTAAAGAGCTCTCTGTGCGTCTAACTTTCTAAAACTCTTTTTAAAATACAGAACAGCTGCTCACATGTTATGCATAAGCAGCCCACAGAGGCAAAGCCCTCCATTAGCACACTGAATTATTTTTAACACACATACTTCCATCCCAAACCAGCCATCCCTGAACTATGGCAAGTGTCCATGTCCCCAGCCGGGGGCACACCTGCAAACTTCAAACCCAAACTGTGGTACATCTGCTCCCAAAAAAGGCCAGTCTTGTTTCATCTGGCCCACAGACGAAAATATCAAGATTGCTGAGCGGAAACAATCCAGAAAGAGACCTGTCCTTTCCATACAGTCAAAGCAGAGGTCTGGTTGAGCTGCTTATATTGTGAGCACATGTGTATGCTAACACAGT